TCTAATGAATTTAACCCCAGAAAGTTTCACAAGAAGTCCACAGAGTTCTCAAAAGAGATATGTACAGAAACATTACCATTTGGATGGAGGGGACAGAGACAGAATAGAATAAAAATGGAGTTTTGAATTCAGAAAAATTTTAACACCTGCTACTTTTAGCAAAAATGGAAAGAAGATTAAATGGTAGAACCAAGAGTACAGAAGCCATAGTAGAGAAACAAAAGATTATTTCTTATATGAGACCTAATCAAGGATCTTCTATCATTTACCTGACTGGAGTTTAGAATTGTTATGGATTAGTAATTCTGGTGTCTGTCCTCCAACCCCACTTTGAACAGGACTATATAGAATGGATCTTATGCTTATCCCACTGTATATTGACAGACAGAACACAATTTTTTTTTTTATTCTTTCAAGGTTTATGGATTGCAAGGAAAAGTATTGAGGAGTCTTTCTTAAGGAACTATCCTTGAAAAGCATCATCTGGACCTGGTCTTAGATGATGAGATTCTGGCCTTTCAGTCAATGTTGCAATGTGATGAGAGTTTTGAGGTGTTTGGGGGCAGTGAGTGTATTTTGCATTGGTGATGGACAAAAGTCACTGGGAGCCAGAGGATGGACTGTGAAAGCAGAGTAGCCTCTAATATGGCCCCAGTGATCCTTGCTGCCTGGATTTCACACCCTTTTCTAATTCCTTCCTGTGGAGTGTAGAGTGGTCTTACTGCCTCACATCTCACAAATAGAAGGCAGTGGAGGTAACAGGATGTTAATTCTGAGGTTTCGGTTATAAGGTACTGTGGTTTGCATTGAGGAGGGGCTTCCCCCAACCCCTCTTTTGAATGGCTTACCCTAGGGGAAGACAGCTGCCATGCCATAAGGCAGCCCTGTGGCAAGTCCCAGGGGAGTGAGCGTGGAAGTAGCCTTTCAGAGGACCAGGCCAGCTGACAGCACTGTGAATCAGCCTGGAAGCAGACTTTCCCTCAGCCAGACCTTGAGATAATGGAAGCCATCCCCCCCACCCATCCAAAGTCTTGACTGTAGCTCATGAGAAAACCGGAGTCCAAACTACTCAGCTAAGCTCCTCTTGGACTCACAATTGCCAGAAACTGCTGGAAAAATAAACATTCATTGTTTTCATCTATTAAAAGATGAGACAATAGGTCATGCAGAAATAGGTTAAAAAATGCATCAATACTCTACAGGATCTTAGACTATGCTATAATGTTCTAATTGTTATTATGCAGCATTCTCTGAAAAAGCAATTCCAATCTGTTTAATAGGATGCCATTATCAATGAATCTTTTATTTACCATCTGAGGAGCACCATCTTCAAGTTTGGTTTCTTATCTCTCCACTGACTTAACTGGTTTTTTGGTTAATTCTTTCTTTTAGTTGCAAAATGATAACTAACAAGGGCATGAGGACATGTCGTGTCCTTGTATTCTTGGAATCCTATCAGGTTAGAATGCTTAAAGATAAGATGAATTGGATTTGTATATAACAGTCACATGCTTCATCTGTGCCAAGAACTGTGAAAATCGCTTTATGTAATCATTTTAGACAATTGTCTATTAGTCCTTTGAAATAAGCATCATTGTCACTGCACTTAAAATAGACTTGCCCAATGTCACACCTTGGTGACACAGGTCTCAAATTTGAGTCCAGACCTGCCCACCTGCAAGGAAGACCTGAGCCCTTAATCCCTCTAGGCAAAGTCCTCTGGGGCTGCTTTGCACAGATAGAACAGTAAACTGCAATGGGTAGATCTGTTTCATGACCCAATGCTTATTACAGAACCAGGACCATCCTTTTCATATGCTCGTGGATGCCATCTGAGAGGGTTTTGAATCCTTAGTTCTCTTCCCTAAATCTGAGCCTGTGATATTTTTGAAGAGAGAGAGGTGAATGCCCAAGCTGAAATAAACTGTTACCAGATTATTGCCTTTGCCCCTAAGAAAACTTCAACTGATTTTAAATGTTGTTCAGAATGTGGGCGATATGTGAACTGGCTAGTTATATCGATTTCCAGGCTCAGGAGTACACAACTGTAAGGTATAAATCAGGGAGTTTACAGAACATTTGACTGAGTAGAACAAAAACCCCCTGGTTATGCCTGTAACCATGTCTAGTAATTTGCTTCTCACTGAAGGGCTGGTGTATTTGGTGAACTGTTATGTGCCAGAACATGTACCAGGGCATTATGCTTCTAGATCATTCTGACGAACGTCAATGACTCATTTATATATTTTTTAAAAGTTGCAAGATGAAATAAAACATATTCTATGATATTTACAAGTGTCTGTGTTCTATTTGAACAACCAGATCTTTTCTTTATTACTTGGAATTAGTATAATTTTTGAAAATGGAAGTTTGGTTAAGGTTCTTAAGTATATATTTATTTGCTTTATTTCTTATTAATTTTCCAACAGACTTAATTTTTTCAATATTCAATTCTTTTACTTCTTATTTTTAAGTGTCAGCATAGTTTAAAAAATCAATTGTTGAAAGATATGTTCTATGATTTTTTTTCTTTCTTTCTTTTTTTTTGTCATCTTTCTGGTAACTGGACTATACATTCAGTCACAGAAAGATGGGCAGGTCAAAATTTATCTTATTGAACCAGTGTTTCTAAAGTCATTTCCCATTTATTTTTTCTTTTCTTTTCAAACTTTCCCTTGAAAAGGCATTTGTGGCTTAGTGGTAGAGTGCTTACCTTGCATGCTCGAGGCCCTGGGTTTGACCCCCAGCACCACATAAAAAAACTAAATAAACAAAATAAAGGTATTGTGTCCATCTACAACTAAAAATATTTAAAAAGAAAAGAAAATTAGTTGGAAAAGACCTGCAAAGTTTTTTTTTTTTTTTTCCTCTTTAGGCTACTCGATGGCCAACTGCCAATTCATTCTGCATTCCTCATCTGATGTGCACAAGATACAGGGAAATTGTGGCTGCTTTTGGAGTTGGCAATAGTTAAATGGAATTATAGAGTGACTCAAAGCAATATGTATTTTGTAGAGTCTTTTGATTATGCACAGCTTTCTCTGAGACATAAAAACCTCTTGAAGGATTAGCTTGCTAGAAAGAATTACCATTTTGGAAGATTTGTGCCACATTTCAATGATAAAATTATTCAGAAAAAAATGCTTCTCTGTAAATATTCTCTAAATTCTCACAAACATCTGAGCCTTTGGGGGCCAGAATCAGGGCACAATTTGCATAAATTAAACATACACACAGAGACTCACAGGACTTGTATGCTCTGATAATCCAAAGGCCTCTCCAATGTGCTCTGATCCTCTCTGGAAAGTTTCATCAGTATCACTGTGCCATCTCCTCACAAAGACCTGTGACACAGACTGAATGCATGCCTGTAGAGACTTTATTTTAAGCTATGGATGTACTTTGCTACATTAAAGTGGCAGCTAAATTAACTTAGTTAGGATTCAAGTAGGTTATATGTATCTTTCCCTCAACATACCAGTGTGAAATATGAAGTTATTTTTTTTAATGTTATACCTTAAGTGAGCTAAGGCATAGATTACAATTTATCCTATGATAACTCTTCTGATAGATTTAAATGCTTTTTTTTTTCAAAATGAGACTTGCGTATTTCTACTAAGTGAGATAGTTCTACCCACAAATTCTCTGAGATCAATTATGTTTAATAATTAATTTTAATAATTAATCTGATTTGCTCATTGGAATTTTTGGGTATTTTATGTAACTCTCTTATTAGAATTCCGAGCATTAATAAAGCATTAGTGTTAGAACATAACTTAGAGAAATTTTATGAATTGGTTAATGTTTCATCAGAAATAACCTCAGGTGAGTAATTTCACATAGTTGACTATTAATGGACCACTGTAATGAAAGAATAAAATGTGAGTCAAACACTAACTTCCCTGATGATGGAGTCCATGTCAAGCAAAAATATGGCTTCAGAAACTCACTTTGCATATGAGTCCAGTTGTTGTCTTAAGGCCATGTAGCCTGGGCTTGTAGACTCCCAGCCAGAAAGTGGGTAAAGGAGGGGCAGTGGGGTGTGAGCAAGGCTTCTGTCCTTATCTAAGCTGTCCTCAGGCCAGGCATCCAGCTTGCTTATCCCAATATGGAGGGGGTGAATTTTGGAGGGGTCAACTCCAGTTACAACATAGCCTAGGACAGGAAATATTCAGAGAAAGTGCAGGTATCTATGGCTGGGATGAGAGTCAGCAAGACAGAGCTATGAGAGGAGGGGGTGAAGAGAGCTGTGATATTCCTGGAAATAATTTGCTCCCATGTCACCCCTGTAAAAGGCATCTCCTTTAAATCAGGCAGGCATAATGAATGGTGTGACACCCGGTAGCCTGCCTTTCATCCTAGAGATGGCCCCATTACCACTCACTAAAAACGGTCTGTCACTGCAGTGCTCTGGGGCCATTTATTTTTCATGATCCTCTTGGCAACGTGACTGGGATTTCCTGAAACCACACACAGGTCCCTGCACAGTGAGTGCTTGCATTAACGCCCCTGATTCTTCACTTCCAAAGGTTATCCTGGTGTGTGTGTGTGTATGTGTATGTGTTTGTGTAGAAGAGAGAGAGAGAGAGTGTATGTGTGTGTATGCACGTGTGTGTTTGTGTGTGTGTGTGTGTTTCCCAAAGGCAAACAAAGAAACAAACAGAGCGTAACCTATGCTTGGCTTTTTGGAAACACTGTTTATGGGCCAAGTGAACACAGGCTAAAATTTAATCTTATGACATCAAGAACGTTCAAAGTTTACAGTTTAATGCATAGGATATAAGCAAATTTTAAAAGCAATTTACGAATTATCTCAGCATCCCCAAGGTCCAGATTTCACAATCATGAAAGGCAAACTTGAACAATTGCAGCAAAGCAGGGGCTTCTGATTTGCTGGCTGCTTCAAATAACAGTTGTCCCTTTGATAATATTGATACCTATCTCCTTTCTCAATCTAGTGTTTCTCTTACACTTTGTAACATATTCCATCTGTTTTTTAGGGCCACTGTCACAAGGATGCCTGGATGAGTGAAGAAAGGCCTGATTGAGCGCAAGGTCCTATCAAATGTCAAAGCTGGCCCTGGCTGACCTCCCATCTATTCAGAGCTGCTTTGATTTAATCTCTAAACTGGCTGCTTCTCTAGGCTGTGAGTTCTATCTGCAACCCATGTGTCAGCATTGAGATATGACCTGCTTCACGCTCCATTCATCTCATTTGAAGGACGGAAATTAAAATCGAGGGTCGAAGAGGGGAACAGCTCAAAATACACACACATTAACTGAAGCCTTTTGTGTGGGTGCATTATAGGAGTTTGAACAACCATTAAAAATTATATTAAAATGAAATTGATCTTTACTCCACTGAAATGGTTTAGAACTTTCTCTCCCCTTACCGCCCCTTCATCTATTCTTCTTTCTTCCCTCTTCTGTTTGTAGTACCCACGTATACTGATCTCATTAAGGTTCAGAGTAAAAGAGGAGAAACATAATTTTTCAGTTTCTTTAAAAATGGTGGCCTTTCGAAAATTCATACATTGCCTATAATTTGCACAGTAAGTTAAAAAAAGAGAAAGAAAGAGCTGATGACACACAATAGATATGTAGGTTGCTTTGTTCAGCACTATTGATTCATTTACATTTCACCTTTCAAATTCTTAAAAATTCAATTAAAACTCAAATTTTGGGAATAGTCAGGGTACAGTTTAAATTTGTGTATTCTAGGTTCTATTTCCTTTTCCCTTCTTTCTTTTTTGTCCTATAGATTGAACCCAGGGCCTTGTGCACACCACTGAGATAAATCTCCAACCATAGATTCTAATTTTTTTTTTTTAATAAATTTCCCTTGCTCTTTCCATTGACCCTTTTATACTTTCAACCATGGCTAACAACTAAGTGAAAGCTTGATTCCTTAATGATTTATTGTATAATAAACTGAAAAACAAACTATGTCATTTAGTAGAGGCCTCCCAAAACTATGGGAACAAGACCACTGTATTCCCAGTGTGTTGGGAAAGAAAGCCATATTTATTCATCTGTTTATTCCTTTGCTTATACATTCAGGTATTTATTATTTGAACTCTGCATTTTTACAGCATGGAGGTAGGGAAAACTTTTTAATTAAAAAATTCTATTGTAGCCTTCCCATTGTAATAATAGTTTATATTTAACACACAAAATTTAAAAACCCTGTCAGCAAAGATGGACAAGGACAGAGAGAATGACATTAAAAATATTATCAACCCAAGTACCCAATATTAGTACCTCAGTGTTTATCTGTCAATTTTGTTTGTAGGTTTACACTTTTCATTTTTCGTATATGAAATTATACTGTTCTTGCTTGGGTGAAGACTATATTTTCACTTTTAGGTCTAAATAATGCCTCTTTTAGGTCTAAATAATGCCACCTTATATAGGAATAATTATTTTACTTTCCTGATATTGTATTAATGACCATGTAGGTTTTAAAAATATTTTCACTATTATAGATGTTATTATTTGAAAATATTTTATTATTCCTATAATCTTCTCCAAAGTTCTCTAGTTCTAAAAATCAGATGTGCTCAATTTAATAATGTAGTCAAAGCTACTATTTTTTCTTTAATGGCATATCACTTGAATATCTATTTGGAAATAAATTTCCTTCCTAAATAATATTTGCTTTTCTTCTAATAAAATTGTAATATATGTGTAATAGAATGAGTACCATAGTGAATATTACTGACATTTCCATTTAAGACATTCAATTATCTTATGGAAAAATTTGAAACTCTGGTCATATGGAGAGAAAAATTTCAGCATCTGAGGTATTTAAAGAATGCCATTTAAGCATTTAGTTTTGAAAGTAGGGAAGCAGAAAAACAAATGATAGTATCTTTCTTGTACTACTTCTCAGTAAAATCTCTTTCTGCATGCATTCCTTATGTAAATATCTTGTTCCTCAGGCAGAAGATGCTTTTAAAAAAATGAATTTTGTGTATTAATTCCTTCTTTACATTGTTTACAGGGCCAGGTGTAGTACTTTGCATTAGAATTTTTTGCAATCATGCAAATGTTTTGAGTCTGCATGGTTCAACATGGTAGCCACTGGCTACTTGTGGCTACTGGACATGTAAAATGAAGGTAATGCTACTGAGCTACTGAATAATTAATTTTGAAACAGTAACCACATATCGGCAGTGACTATCATGTAGGACAATGCAGCTTTAATAGTTTTATCATTATTAATAGTTTGTGAAGCATTGTAGATGTATACCTAGTTACTCAAGTTCATTTTATAAAAGGCTAAATATTAGATGATGAAGACCTTCCTCTTAAACCATAGTAACAAAAAGAAAGATAACAACTACTTGTGCACTGGGAGATGTTTTTTCACAGTTTCTTTCAGGGAAGAGTATTGAACATTTTAACAAGACAAAGGTGATAAAAGCATTTTTGTGGGACTATTGCAAAAGATAAACTGGCAAAGAGTAGGACAATTTGAGTTTAGGATCTGGGTTTTACACTAACCACCTTTGGACCTATAGGAAGTTCCCTTGCTTTTGGTGGTCTTCTGATATTCATGATAAAGAATTTAGAATAGATGAATTTCTCTTACTATGGTTAAATTAAATGAATTTCTTCTGTCCTATAATCAGAATGAAATGCTATTTTCCCCTTACGTCAATAATGTGTCCAAACACTCAGTTCCAGGTCAGGTACCTTCTAAGTGGTTAGAATTTTGTTGAAAAAATGGATGTATTTAGTTATCTGCCTGAGTAAATTGCTCCTTTCATTCTTTATTCTTGTAGCTTGATGTTTTCCATACCCAAATTTGAGTAAGATTTTTAAACATGGATGGTTTTGATGCAGGAGAGAGATTTTGCTCTGGAGTAGATTGGCTCACTGGTACAACTTTTTGCTCTTGAGTTTTTACCAGGCTCTACTTCCACAGATGGCCAAGGAAAAGTGGTCATATACATTTTTCTGATAGGTGAGCCCTCAGGATGGCCCCAAAACCTTGAATCATGTACACCGAGGTGATGTGAGAAAGCAAAAGGTCCAAAATGTAACTAAGACCTAACTTTACTCATTATATATAACTTTTCTGAAAGGTACTTTCCATACCTCAGCACCATTAACTACCTCGATCACTCAAGTTCAGAATAATTAAATTTCCTTCTTTTATATTCTGACACATATGTTTTACTTATGAGGTATTTAATATTACCATTTTGGAGATCAATAGTTAATTTTTAATATGATGTCTTTTTAATCCAATGAAAATGTTAACTTCAACAAAGACAGAGACACTATATTCACTCCTGACACAGAGTTCCCTGTATCTCACCAATAGTTTAATCGACTATTGCCCAGAATTGAACATATGAGGAAATACTCTTTAAACAGGAATTCATTGCACATTCATTAGTCATTATTATTAGAGTTGATGTTGTAGGTGATTTAATAATTATTCTTATTTTTGATATGTACCTTCTTTCAGGAACTTAGCAGCTGGTTAACATTTTCTGGGTTTACTATAGATGCCCTGAGATCTTTCAAGGATTGCCAGGACTTCAATCTTACAAGACTGTATAAAAGAAAATTCATTATACTCCTCACTCAGAAGAGATAGTATTAAAAATTAATGATAATTTTAGTCCTCTGAGACATCATATAATTCAAGGGAGGGGCGGAACTCTATCACCCATCTTGTTCACAAAACATCATTTTGCATGATAAATCCCTGGAGCTTGATGTTCTTCACCTTATTGTAGAACGTCAGTGTTGAAAATGTCTCCTTTCTTAAAAGTACCAATATTTCATTTTTAAATTAGTGAATCTGTTTGAGAAAAATAAAAAGCAACACATACCAAGAGCTATGTAAGTAAGTAAGTGGTCATATCCTCTAGTCCTATGACTTCTGCAGCTAAAACTATTAAGGAAATAGTTCAATACAAACAAAAATTTTAGGAAATGAATATTTTATGCATGAATTACCTACAATAAAAAGAACTTGGAAGCAATTTTGATGCCTGATATTAGGGAAATGCTTAAAAAAACACATTAGAAAGATGTGAAAATCTAGCATTTTGGAGCTTTTATATATACTTGGAAAATGTTTTTATCATAATGCCAAGTGAATAAGAAAAGCAGAGTGCAATATTTGTACTCAAGTGGGTGAAATTTTCATGTGGGTATGGGTGGTACCATTGCCTATGTGGAAAGAGTTATTTCACTGAGGAAAATGTTCACATTGTGTAAAGAATGCAAGCTTTAGGTTACAGCCAGGTTTGAATTCAGTTCCTCCACAGCTGTGTGACCCTGGCAAATTCGTAATTTTCTCTGAGTATCCATCCATGTCCTTATTAAGTTTTGTGTTTGTGTGAAAGAGTTAAATGAGCAAATCCACTTAAGAGTCTAGGACACAGTAGAAGCCCAATACCAATCCCTTTCACTTTAATAAGTGTCTGAGACTTCCTAAGATGGAGACGTTTTGTTCAATTTGATTAATTTTTATAGAGATTTCAATCTTTATTTTTTACTCAAATTCGAATTTTTAGTGAATGTTTAGAAATTACAGAGTAATGATAGCACTCCCATGATTGGTCAATAATTTTTATGTTTGAACGGGTTTTACAAGAGTATTAAATATCCTGGATTGTAGGTCAGGCTAATTTCCATATACAATTGAAGATGTGAAGCTAAGAATGGCACATGAACTGATTTTTGACCATGAACTGGTACAATTTGCATTTATTCTCTCCGTGTTCTTGACATTAAATTCTGGAACACTTATGCATGTACGGAAGGTTATGTTCCATTAACCTTCTGGGAAATTCTCACCATGGATGTGAAGGTGGAATTTCTCTCAAATACAAAGGCAATTTCAGGATGCCTAGAAACTTATTGCAGAGTGTATATTAGTGTATGAATGAGACTGTTCTTATAAGTGAAAAAAGGGTGGTACAGGCAAAGTGACTTTTTCTATTTGGAGATAGGGGCCAGAGAAGACAAGGGGGAGATCAAAGGAGGGGATTAAAATTCTTTATCAAGTAAGGCTCTACCTTGTATGCTTAATTACAAAAGGAAATTAAGAACAACTGCATGTATATTACTGCGTGTATTAATGTAGAATTTAATTGGTTTGAGTAAATTAATGTTTGCCTGTAATATTTCTGGCAATTTCTTATAAGCTGTGTAACTTTAAATTGGTTTCTTGAAGATGCTGGATAAAACATTTTAATTCACACATTGCTTTAGGAATTGATTTGGGAATAATAAAACATAATGAAATGTTTTACCTGCAATGGTTCTAAGTTCTATTTGCTCTGCAATTTTTTTAACTTGAATGCAAATAATGATATTGCTACGATGTTTAGAAGAACTGTGACTGTTGTAAGTTACACACCCCTTATTCCATTGGGCAAACTATAGATTTTTCGAAATTTTATTTTCTTGAAGCAGAAGAGAACAAGTAAAAAGTCCTTTAGGGCTTTTATCTTTTATCCAAGAAAAATTATATATGAAATTGAAAAGCAAAGATGTATAAAAACCTGACATCTCAGCAAATAAATGAATCTAAAAGTCTAGGAATCAGGACACTTTCATTTGGGCCATAAGAAGAAGGTCCATGGGTTTCTATCTAATTTATGATAGTGACAGGACTATATTTGACCAAGTGTCAACCAGAAATGTGCCAGTTACTCTGATCTGTTGTGAAAATTTACTACAAATGAGTCTGGAAAAAATGACAACCATTCTTCTAAGTCAGTCAAGAAAAATAATTTAAAGACGTTTGCTGACATATTATTTGTATATTAGCAAATATTATTTTCCTGCTCCAACAATACATACACAGGAGCATTTAAATACAAAAGGAGTCTAGATATATG